AGTGGGTGGGTGGGCTCTCTATGGAGACTGACCTGGGACCCCTGTGGGCAGGATGTGCTTAGCCAGGCAGATGGGATGGGGTCATGGGCAGATGGAGAGAGGCACCTGGGAGCAGGACACGTTGGCAAGGTTGGGATCATGAGGCAGTTCCAGTGTGGGGCTGGAGCCCGGGACGGAGCTGCAGTCCGCTCCTTGGCATGTCCCTGCCTCCAGAAATGGTGCCCGTTGCACGGATAGGCGGGGCGTGAATCATGGCTCAGCCCCTGGCCCCACGCTGTCACTACCCTGTGATCCTGGCCATGCCTGTGTGTCCCACTCCTTGATGCTGCTCCCTGCCTGCCCGCAGGCTTGTCTTGGCAGCCTGACTGAGCGTGTCTTTCCCTTGCAGGTCCTAACCGGTTTCCATGGAGACCCTGCCCACCCATTATGTCTGGTGACTTCAGTGGTGGGTGCAGGATGGATGGGTCTGGGACCGGATAGGATCAATAGTTGTCGTTGTCCGCCCCCATCTCCCTTCTTGTCCCCCTGCTGTGCTAGGTCACCCCGCCCCCCACCACTGCACCTACTTGGCAGGGGAGATACCATGATCAACAAAGTGGTTTTCCCATGGTGAGGCCTGTCCCTTGCACTCTGGGCAGGCTGGGAAAAATCAGCTGCACAATTTTGTGGTAAGGGAAGACTGCGTTTGTGCTTTCCGCTGGCTTGGTGCTTGGCCTTTTGGCTAGGAGCAAGTGAGACTAGGAGGCATCTGGATCCCAGGGCCTCCAGGCCTGGGGCTTGTACATAGGATGTCTGCCACAGATTTGGGAAGTATCCAAAGCCTCAGACTGATGAGCAGGGATCTAGGTTTTCTGTTTCCCATGGAAAATGAAAAAAAAGTGTCAATTTTTCCCTTTTAACTGAGAAAAAAGCAGATTTCTCATTTTAACAGAGAAACGCATAGATGTTCCACTTTTGCAAAGAGCTCTCTGCAGGCTGGCAGAGTTCCAGTGTGCAGTGGGCTGGGGGGAATGGGAGGAGGGTGGTCAGACAGGGGGTGCTGTATGTGCGCTTACATGTACACATGGCTGCCAGGAAGCTTGGAGAGCAGCTCCTGTAGGTAAGTCTGGTTTGGGTTGGGTTGGTGGGGGAGGGAATGGAGACCCCCATAGGGAAGGGGGGAGTTGGGCTGGGGTTGCTGCCCAGCTGGGCAGTGCATGGGGTTTAGGGCCCGGGTCTGGAATGCACAGCCACAGGACCCTGGCAGGGAGTGGGAGGGGGCTGTGAGCAGCTTGTCTGGGGGTGTGCAAAAAGGGGTGAGGTTGGCTCCCCGCCACTGAGTGCACTCCCGGAGGGGTGCTGGGGGGCATGTGCCTCCCAGATCTGTGCGCGGGGTGGGTTCATAGATTTCAAAGACATTAGGGCTGGAAGGGACCTCAGAAGATCGAGTCCAGCCCCCTGCCCCAGGGGCAGGAAGTCAGCTGGGGTGATAGGATCCCAGCAACATAAGCATCCAAATTTCTCTTTAAAGCGTTCAATGTAGGTGCTTGAAACACCTCCGATGGCAGGCTCTTCCAGACCTTGGGAGCTCAGACAGTAAAGAAATTCTTCCTTATGTCCAGCCTGAAACGGTCTTGCAGGAATTTATGACCGTTTGACCTTGACATCCCTTGGGGTGCTCTGGTGAACAACTGTTCCCCCAGATCCTGGTGAACACCCCTGATAAACTTATAGGTGGCCACCAGATCACCCCTGAGCCTGTGCTTTTCCAGGCTGAAGAGCCCCATGGCTCTCAGCCTCTCATCATAAGGTCTGTTTTCCTGACCTCTGATCATGTGCGTGGCTCTTCTCTAGACTATCTCAAGCTTCTCCACATCCTTTTTGAATTGTGGAGCCCAAAACTGGATGCAGTACTCCAGCTGCGGCCTCAACAAGGCCGAGTACAATGGGAGAATGACGTCCTGGGATTTGCTTGAGAAGCATCTATGGATGCAAGCTAGCATTTTGGTCGCTTCACTAGCCGCAGCATCACATTGAAGGCTCATATTTATCTCGTGGTCAATCATGCCCCCCAAGTCCCTTTCATCCGTAGTGCTAGCCAGTGTAGCACTGCCGAGCCCATAAGTACATTGCAGGCTTTTCCTCCCAAGGTGGAGAACCTTGCATTTTTCGGTGTTAAACACCATCAGGTTATCATCCGCCCATTTCCTGAGCCTGTCAAGGTCAGCTTGGATCGCCCTCCTGTCCTCAGGTGTGGATGCTTTACCCCAGAGTTTATCATTGGCAAACTTGGCCCGTCCACTTCTGACTCCAATGTCCACATCTTTAATGAAGATGTTGAACAATATAGGTCCAAGGACAGAGCCTTGAGTGACCCCACAGGGCACCATGATGATTAACTTCTGTCAACCACCACCCTCTGAGTCCGACCAGAGAGCCAGTTCCCCAGCCAGCGGATCATGGTGGACCTGAGGCTGCAGTTGGCCAGTTTTGCCAAGAGGTGATCATGGGATACCAGATCAAAGGCTTTTTTGAAGTCAAGATATATGACATCAATCTCCTCTCCCTTGTCCAGGTGATAGATAGGTCACCTGGTCATAAAAGGAAATAAGATTGGTCAAGCAAGACCTACCTGCAACAAACCCATGCTGGCTATCCCTCAGGATGTTGCCATTGGCCAGTCTGTTAAGAATGACCTCTTTAATAATCTTTTCTAAGACCTTTCCCGGGATAGAGGTCAGGCTGATGGGCCTGTAGTTTGCCGGATCCACTTTCCTCCCTTTCTTGAAGATAGGCACCACGTTGGCCTTTTTCCAGTCTTCGGGCACTTCACCAGAGCGCCAGGAGTTCTCAAAGATCCGTGCCAGGGGCTGAGCTATGATGCTAGCCAGCTCCTTGAGTACCCTGGGGTGTAGATTGTCAGGGCCTGGTTTCCCATTGCAGGCTTGGGCTCCCTGCCCTGCTGCCCTCCCCTGGGGGCCTCTGCGACCCAGCGGGTGGGACCTGATGTTGCAGGGCAGAGTGGGGCCAGGCAGGGAAGCTTCTTGCTGCTGCTGCGAGCCTCACGACAGCCTGGTGAAGCACTCCCTGCATGCCCAGGAGCAGTGGCATGGAGTTGTGCCCCTCACTGCTGCCAGATGGGCAGGGAGCACCTCATCAGGGCAATGTGGGGCTCGCAGCGGCAGCAAGGAGCTTCTTCACTCAGTCCTGCCACACTGGGTCCCACCGGCTGGGCTGTGGAGACCCCAGGGGCAAGGCAGCAGAGCAGGGAGCCCGAGCCCGCAGTGCGCAGCCCGTCCCTGCTGCCACAGACTTCGCTCTGGCTGTGCCACCCACAGGGGAGGGGCAGCCGGGCTGTGCGCTCTGCTGTGCTGCAGCAGCTACTGCCTCCCATGGGCGGCAGCTTGGGCGATGCTGCGGTGGGGCAGGGGGCTGCAGACCCAGGTCCCTGGCTCTGTAGCCCTGACAGCTGGGGATCCCATCCAGCAGAGCTGATGTGAATGAAGGGGACAGGGAGAGCTCTGATTTTTCCATGATAAAAATCCCAAAATCAAATGCCAAAATTTATAGGTATTTAGCATTTATTTTATTATAGTGATTGAAGCACTGGTAGGCTTCCAAATTGCTTTAAAATTGCAAATATAATTAATAAAACATTGTGTTCAATTGATACCTCTATATAGTGACATTTCATTTTAATTGTTGATTCTGGTGTTTTTTTATCAGAGAATTTGCTAATATATGTTTTATCAGAGAATTTGTGATTTTGAATGGAGAAAACCAGGATCCCTGCCAAGTTTGGAAGGGAGGATACTTGCCCAACAGTAGAGCCACACAGGCTTGAACGCTCAGTCAAATTTGGAACTTGACTATTGGGCTTTGCCCAATTGAATCTGGACCTGATTGGCTGATTTGGCCCTCAGAACGTAATATATTTTTAAAATATTGTCCTATATATAAGTGGGTACAAAAGTGCTACTTAAAAGTATATTTATAGAGTACCTGTGCTAAATCTTGCAGCAGTTTTGGAAAAGGTATAATGTGCATTAATTCTGGGTGAACTAAGTCTGCAGATACCATATGTAGATTATTACAGGTTTGTAAAATCACTATTTTCAAATTTGTTCCTTACTTCCTGTGCTCAGGAAGAGCAGGGTCTGAGAATAAGGAGAGGAGGAAGGAACTGCAGGGTGAAGAAGTTGGGGTGGGGAGGGGAAGAGGGCAAAAAACCTGGCCCCCAATGGCGAAGGGTTTTGTGGATGT